ATATTTACTGAGAAAAATGGTGACGTGTTCAATACTTATTTTACCCGCTGTATTGATGGGTTCTGGCAAAGACAGAGACACATTCACACTCTTTTTACAAACTATGTCATCTTATGTGGAATGTTTGCCTCCAGCCTGCTCTGTAAAGTTTAGCATCCTGGCACTGACCTGCCCAACATGTTGGAGCAGAAGTGAATCACATGAGATTTACTGATACTAAGAAACATTTGGTGTAGTTTACAAAGCCTCGAAATGTGCTTCTGTGCAGCAGAATGAAATTAAAACCCTGATATTGTATGAGGTGTATTTGAATGACCAATTAAAAAACAGAGTAATAGAGCTAGTGTGTGGTTTCATTGACTCTCTCCAGGTGTGTGTGTGCGCGCCTCACCTTTTCTCCCTTCTGTCTTCACCCTGAAGGAAACGGCAGCTGCAGTTCCTGTTGGAGGGGCGCGGCCGGCGGGCAGGGCTGAGTCCAGAGGAGCTACGGGATAATGGGAAGCTCCTGGGCGAAGGCCTGAGCAGAGCGCTGTTTAACTATCCCAGCAGAGACTGCAGTGCAGAGAGCCCTGAGGTTAGTTCGGTTTTATGTTTAAAGGTTTTACAGCCGCACAGGGAAATCAAAGCGTAGCCACGTTAAACTGCCCGTCTCTCTCAAAGAAGCAGAGCTTAAATGAAAAAAAAGTGTGTTAATTAGAAAAGTGGTCAGACATGTAGATGTGTCAACATATTGACATTTGCCTTCACAGATTTATYAACACTGCATCTTTCTTTTACATGTTTTTTTACTGCTGTATTTTTGGGGGCCATGTTTTCTCAGTGTACTCTAGTTTTTTCCACCRACCAAAAACCTGTGCGTTAGGTTAGTAGTTTGTAGCAGAATGTGGAGGCTGCAAGTTCGATCTCAGGTTGCATMCAACCTAAAACAAATACCAAACCTTCAGTGTAAGATTACACTCTGTGGGGACACCTGTAATAATAATAATGATGCATTTTATTTATAGGCGCCTTTCAAAACTCTCAAGGTCACCTTACAAAAGTCAATAATAAAAACCATAGTAAAACAATAAACACARTAAAAGCAATAAATCAGTTAACAGAACAAACTAAAATAGTGCAAACTAGTTAGWTTTATGGTTCAAGTGTGTATGCTTTCTTGAACTTCACCGCAATATTCTCTTAAAATTGTATTGTTTAGTTAAATAGATTTAAGAACGTTTATATTAGGTCTGTACCGATTGCGGTTTACTGATCACCGATCTTTAAAAAGTCTCAACTGCCAACTCTGATTTTGTCCAATATCGATTTTTTTTAAACAGACACTGTCGGATGTTATAAGGTCACAATACACCTTTCACGTTCCAATCTTATTTAATTGAAAAACACTGAACAAAACTCTTGGAACAATATAAACTTGTTTTAACTGGACATGAGGTAGTGCTCACAGCAGAGCAAAAGGGTAGATGAGAAGCCGATCTTTTCCACCGATCTTATCCAAGTATCGTTCGATCTCCCAAAATTAARGATATTGCACCTCTAAYGCGATACATCTCTGCTTTTGTATAAAAGCTAAAACAGGATTTTCTTGAAAATATCATTTCATTTTGTTGTGATAATGGTTTACTTATGTTTTATACTTGAGATAACAAAACTTGTTTTCCTGAGATAATGAGATAATCTAGTTATTTTGACTTAAGAAGTACGTTTCATCAGACGTTAGGAAAGTGGTGCTGGTAACTGGTTCAAGCTGAAAAATGTCACACTGAGAAACATTCATCACTGATCAACACATGCTGTTGATGTGTCATGACGGCATAACTGAATAATGAAACTGGGTGTGACACAAGCACCATTCATTTTTGCACCAAAACCATCTTATCTTGAGAAAAACAAGCTTTGTTATATTATTTAGAAAATGATATAAAAGTAGCTTGGGTGTTTTGAGAAAACAAAACAATCACATAAAATACTAATAAWACGTACGGTCATTCCTGGCTTGTTTAATTTATGTGTACTGTAGTTGCATGCTTATTATTTTCATAGCTAAAAGAGGCCTTATTCTGCTTYATGCTTTGCAAAAAATGGTTTTCTGTCAACATTATCTCGAGCGCATGTGACACAACATTCACCGTAAACTTTGGGTTTCATCCCAAAATACTGAAGTTATTTCAAAGATCTCAAACCATTTTGTTCATAAATAAAGTTTAACCTCTTTACTTTGATTAATTACTCTTACTAAGTTTTGGTTACATGTTTTATTTGCCATACATTAAAAGACTTGTAGGTATTACTTTAGCCTTTAACCATTAAAAAAAAATGCTTGGATTGATTCATTCACTGACTTATGGGTTCCATGCACTTTTCCAGCTACTTCAAATTTGAATTACCACCGAAATGTTTTCTTTTCTTCTCAGGAGGGCTCCGTGGAGTCGTCAGAGCGCGCCGTCATGATAGAGCAGTACCTCCAGGAGCTGGTCCAAAGGGCATCAGACACTAATCTTAAGGGCGAGGCTTTGYACAAGCTCTGGCCCAACATGTTTGCAGAGATGGTGAGAGACTGTGTGCTGGAGATGAGGGACCGACCCGCCTTCCGTCAAGCCAGCTTAGCAAAGCTCACTGACACCAAGTGAAACGGACCAAAGGTTCCTCTTTTAGTCGCATATACACCTGCACACGCGTGGGCCTTGCTTCCCATGGCTTTTTTTTTTCCATTTCAAACTCTTAACACTTCATCACCTAGTGATTTTATCAGTTATTAACGGGAGGGGTTATTTTTATGGATGTAGACTATTTTTAAGATGTCAGGAGAATCGTCATGACCCCAGACATCTTGACCGAATGTAGAGCTTCACTAAAACAGCTTGTTTCTTCAACGCTTGGAGCCGTATCATACTTGAAGAACGTTAAAGGCACTTACTGACTTGTGGTGCATTGAAGTCCCCACAGAGAAACCTCTGCACTTTAAAAGCCTTCCAAATGACTGCCTACACTGTCACCCCCCCCCCCCCCCCCCCCCCCCCCCCCACACACACACACACACACACACACTGAAAAGGACCAGCGTCTCCTTTATGGAGAATAGAAAGATTTTTCTGGCTTCTAATCAGCAAAAGGCATCCTTCTCTCACGTTCTCCTATCTGACATGAAAGACAGGGCACAAAAAAGACAAGGTCTTTGTTTTTGTTTACAAATGACTTTCTGTATTGTACTTAGTATTAAAAGATTCTGCATTAACAGTGACTCTGCGTGCATGGTTTGCTAAAGGATTATTCATTCTTTTAAAACATCCAATCGGATCAGTTTCAGCTCAGGTCTGATTGATCTCCTGTACTGTAAATGGAACACAGATGCACCTCTTGTGTATAATTGTCTTTGAAGCGGCACCATCAGTACCTCGTAGCGCACCGCCCCCCTGTGCACGCTGGAGGTTAGCAGGTCCAAAAATGATGAAGGGTCCTGCAGGTAGAGTGAACCTGGAATGCTGGAATGTCCCTGAAGGTGTGGAGGCTTCACCTGTTTCTCACATTTTTTTTCTGCTCACCTTTCTAAAACTCTCCTATGGGGGGAAAAAAAAGTTTTTAACTTCTATTTAATCAGACAGGTCAGCGGAGGAAGCGGCTCTGGCCCAGATGAGTAACTGCAGAGGAATGAAGTGTTGAAAAGCTTCACACAAACACACATACAGAAAATGACAGGTTTTGCTGTCCTGTTATTTACTCCACTGGAGATTATTGCCTCCATCACAAATATTTGACTTGAAGCAAACACACATATTAGAGACTTAATGACTTTCTCATTTCTGTGTGCTGGTTTTGATTTTCAGCTGCTCGCTTCGTCTGTAGCTTTTTTTTTACACATTAATCCTGATAATAAGAGCTGTGCAACAATTCCAAAGATTATAATCATTTCCACGTTGTTGTCTTTTTCTTGAGATGTTACAGATTTTCAGAGATAACCAACCATAACCTTCAGGAGAAGGCTGAAATCCAGGGTCTGTTCCAATGCTCTGATTTAACAGTCAGGGGATAAACATCCTGTTGTGTTTGAAGTGTTGACTGTTTGAGCACAGGGATCCTAAAGATTTCATGTAAAAGTTTAGTGTTTTGCTTTGATAGGAGCACATTTGGTGCAAACGTTTGACGTCATCTAAAACAATTCTGTTAGCTGCACACAGACAGAACAAAATGCCTGAGACAAAACCAATCAATGAGCATCATTATGTTTAATAATTCATAGCCAGTCAGTTCCTGAAAGTCTTTTATTTGTTTTATTATATTGTTTTATAAGGAAAACGTTGTACTTGGTGAATAATCTCACAATGTCTTTTGTTCATTTGCACCGAAACAAGACTGTGGCTGAAGTATTATGTTTATGTATTTTAAAAGTAAAAATAAGGAAAGGTTTATCAGTAATGAGAATAACATTTACAAAAAATTTGGGACGTGTCAAAAACTGTTACCTAAAATTTGAAAACTCCCAATTAGTTTTAAACAAATAAGCCATTTATTATTTTATTATTTTATAATTTTTTTCATGCATAGCATTAAAGCGGCTGTCTTGCTTTAATTAAGTGATTTATTTATGTCTAATATGCCAAAGATGCTCTCTGTCATATAGCACTGTGTTCCTACAGAAGCCCTAATAGGACAAACCACCAGAAAAGAAGCAACAAAGTGGTTTCTCATTTTAAAAATCGTGTTGCTTGAATCAGATTAAAAATAGAAATGTATTGAAAATAAATTAAACAGCAAGGCTGATAACATGTCTATTATCAACTAGAGTTAATGGAATACATGCTGTTAAAGTTACACAATCTCAAATGTTGGTCACTGTTTTTGTTTTCTTAGCTTTACTCTCTTATTTTCTTGTGATCCTGTAAGTCAGAACAGAGGGTTTAGTTTTGTCCCCACAGCACAGCAGCAGGTGTCAGACAGCTTCCAGCACACAGAGAAAGTTCTCCTTCAACATCAAATGATTGTGGCAGTGGTTCTTCTATATGCATTAGCTGAACCAATCAAAACCACACAGGAACAAAAGTGAGCTCCTTCAGCTCTAAGATGTTCCGTCTGTTTTATATTTCTGAGGAACTGGATGGACGGATGTGTTCTAGTGTCTCCCCAAAGGCAGGTCAGTCTACTACGGTTTCATTTTGTGCCGGATAACAAAGAACACTTCCTCTCAAGTTAACTGGGAACTCGTCTGGTTCTGAAAAGTTTTGGAAACATTAGAGTTAAAGACGAACTATTGAGGAGTATCATTTTTTGTTCTCAGTGATGAAAAACCAGTGGAGGCATCAGCAGTGTCCCATACTGTACTGACACATTTCACCTCGCCAACTTAAAATAAGTTCTTTGCTAAGTTGTCTACAACAGTTCATCTTTTGAGCTTAGTTTTGTGCCTGAGTGAGTCATAAGTCAGATTCAAGTCCTAACAAACAGGAAAAACATTCTTATCACAAGAATCAGGCCTGAAAATGGTTGAAAAAGCAGCTAAAAGTTAAAAAAGAAGAAGCATGGCCGCATAGAAGGAAAACTCAAAATAATAATGTGAGTATAAAGACTTGGCAAAGTACTGTGATGCAGAGGCAGTTAGATATAAAGTGTTTCTGACCAACACTCTTCAGTATTTGTAAATGATGCTGTACAATAAAGCTGCAGCATTTTAAAACCAAAACTTTTACAAACTAAACTCCACAGAGCTGCTGGACTGCTTCTATTAAACAAAGCAGATACAGCAAACCTTGATATTTCACAAAACCCTCCTCTTTCTTTCTTTCTTTCTTTCTTTCTTTCTTTCTTTCTTTCTTTCTTTCTTTCTTTCTTTCTTTCTTTCTTTCTTTCTTTCTTTCTTTC